TATTAGTCTATCTTCTTTTAAAAAGCTTCTGTTAATGTCTTTTGCCCACTTTTTAATGGGGTTGTTTGATTTTTTGTTTTGATTTTTTTTTCTTGCTGAACAACTAAAATAAATAAACAAATATATAATATATATATATGTATATATATATATATGTAGAGAGAGAGAGAGAGAGAGAGAGAAAATTAGCTGGTCATGTGGCACATGCTTGTAGTCCCAGGTACTCGGGAGGCTGAGGCAGGAGGATTGCTTGAGCCCAGGAGTGTGAGGTTGCTGTGAGCTAGGCTGACCGCCATGGCATTCTAGCCCAGGCAACAGAGTGAGACTCTGTCTCAAAAAAAAAAAAAAATTAAGGTCAAGAAACAAAAAGGAAGAATGAGCTACTGTTCCAAATTAAAGGAGGCTACAGCCGTCAGCCCCGAGCTGTCCAGAGCCCCCTCCTCCCGTATTCACTTAGTCTGCTGCCTTAGAAAAGGTTCTACTTCCCCATTTTCCACCATCGGCCTAAATCTTCCTCTTCCTTTCACAGTGTGCTGTGGCCTGTCGTTTTCCTCTCTCCTCTCTGCCTCTCTAAAACTCACTAGATTATAGAACTCTGCATGCCTACAGAATAAAGTCAAAGTCCCTTAGAACAGCAGACAAGGCCTCTCATAGTCAACTATTTGTCAACTATTTTTAAATTAGCAGCAGGATTTAAAACACCTACATTAATTGTTCACTAATTTAGGCAATAATCAATCGTTAACAGTGAATGCAGAATGATAACATATTTAGGACAAAGGCCAGTAGAACTGTTTTTGTACTTCTAGAATTTATTAAGTTTGAAAAATTATTAGCTGCCAACTTTGAAATTCAGGTTTGAATATCTGCTTTTTCTTTCTCTAAGAAACTAGTATTCATTATAATTTCAGAATTCCAATTAAAATGATGGATGTTTGAAAAGTGTATTACTCAAAAAGTCTGAATTATAAATGTGAGTTCAGGTACCTGATACTTTACACAAGGGTTTTATTTTGTCCCAAAGAGCTTCTCTGGCTTGTGTGATTTAATAAAGTAGCTCAAATTATTTCTGAGGCTGTAAAGACTAAGGTTCCAAGGTTTCTTTCTCAATGTATGATACATATTCAGCTTTTCTTTGAAGAAGTTTATTTTTTATTTTCTCTTTTAAATTCTATTCTATTATTTATCTTCTAAATGTCATTTTTGATCATACTTACATATCTTGAAGAGTGAAACTCAAACACTAATTTTTTTTAATTTTAAAGAGATTTATTCTGAGCCAAATTTGAGGCCTGACCTGAGCCACGCCCAAGAAGCCTTGAGCAATGGACTCGCTGGCGGGTTACGGTTTTGTTCTATACACTGCAGGGAGACAGGGTTACAGGTAAAATCTAAATCAGTATGTGGAAGGCAATATTTACTTGGCCCAAAAAAGGTGCCATCTCGAAGTGGGCTTACATTTAGGTGGGTTTAAAGATTCTTTGACTTGTAATTGGTTAAAGACATGAAGCTTTGTCTAAATGCTTGGAATGTTTTAAGATAAGGAGGTCTGTTAATCAGAGACAAGCCACCTGACATAGATTCCTTGTGAAACTGAAGACCTGCAGGTTTGTCTTGCATGCCCTTAGCCGGTTAATGGGTTACAAAGGACGTCCCAAGAAGTTTATATCTTAGGCACAGGAATATATCACAATTTGTTTATTGCTAGTAAAATAAGATAAGGGAATTTTGATCAGGACATTTTTATGCATTGGTGATGGCCTTCTCTGCAGTACTGTGGCAGCTTTGACCGTGTTCATATGATGAACGTAGGCCCCCTAGTCCGGCTTTCTGCCACTTCCCTTTGAAGCAGAGCTAAGTGCATGCTGTGCGCTATTCAGGCTCTTGTGCTATGAACTACTCGTAGCTCCCTCACGTGCTCATGTTATCTTTACTATTCTAAATATCCCGCTCTCTTTAGATGTTTCTCTTCATTTTTACTAAAAGCTGTCTTCTTTTCGTGATTCAATTCCACATAGGAAAGGTCTTCCGCTGCATTAACAGAACCCTTCCAAGGCTTTCTGAACATTAACTCTAGTGTTCAAGGGAAGACACTGTGTAAGCCTATGAAAAAAGAAATTTTACTCTGTCTTATCGGGTAAAATATCTAGTTCTGAAATCTAGGCCAAGACAGTTGGTGTCCTGAAGTCTACAGAACTGTAATCTGAGGTCCACAGAAATCTACCTGCAAGAATGATTACTGCCGGAGGCGTAATCGCCTCTCGGCCATGTTTGACTTAAACATGCATTGCCCCAGCTGGTGACCAATCATTTGCTAATCTCAATAATTATTTTAAAAATTTAAATTTATTTTCTTAACATCAGAAACATTTTCTCATTCACACTTATGTTTATGCTCAAAGATAAGATATAGCATCATATGAGATCAGCTAGCAGCTTGATACAAGATGATGGATCGGAGGCTGCTTTGCCATATTTTATATTTCACATAGAGAATCAAGTGAAAGATGTGTATATTTTAACTTTATCCATCACTGAGAAGCACAGTAGGCAATTTAAACTAAGTTATGAAATTAATAAACATTAAAAAGTCAGACATTTTATGATACACCAAATGGGAATTCACTTACATTATATAATCTGCCAATAAACATATGAAAAAATGCTCAATGTCTCTAATCATCAGGGAAATGCAAATCAAAACCATAATGAGATATCCCCTAACTTCAATAAGAATGACTATTATCAAAAAGTCCCCAAACAGCAGATGCTGGTGTGGATCTGGAGAGAAAGGAGCACTTACTCACTGTTGCTGGGACTGGAGCTAGTTCAGCCTCTATAGAAAGTAGTATGAAGATGACTCGAAGAACTAAAAGTAGACCTACCACTGATCTAGCAATCCCACTACTAGATATTTACCCAAAGGGGAAAAAAGGCATTCTATAATAAAGACATCTGCACTCGAATGTTTATAGCAGCACAATACACAATTGTAAAGATGTGGAAACAACACATGTACTCATCAATCCATAAGTGGATTAATAAAATGTGGTGTATGTGCACCATGGAGTACTACTCAGCCATAAAAATTGGTGAACTAATACCTTGTGTAACAACCTGGATGGAACTAGAGACCATCCTTCTAAGTGAAGTACTGTAAGAATAGAATAACACCCCCAAAGTGTACTCATTATTAAATTGGAAATAAATGATCAATACTTACGTGCACATACATTAGTAAAATTCAACGGAAATCAAGCAGGTATGGTGGGTAGGAGGGAATGGGAAAATTCACACCTAATGGGTATAATGCACTATCTGGATGATGGACACACTTATAACTTTGACTCAAACTGTACAAAAGTAATTCATGTAACCAAAACATCTACGCCCCTGTAATATTCTGAAATTAAAATAAAAACTTTCAACTTTTTAATTACAACAACAATAACAACAAAACAAATACGATTTGGGAACACTACCTCTGAACATGATACTCTGGATGACAGAGATGTAGTCTTCTGGCTCCTGCTCAGTTGAGATCTCCCATCTGCTTCCAGAGATATTTAATGATGTATAGAGCTGATCTGAACTCTTCACTCCACAAAGCATAGTAACTACACTTTCCGGTGAATCAAGTACCTTTTCCAGAAACTGACACTTCTTTGGAGTTAGGTCTTTAAGCAGGCTGTTTGATAATATCAAAAGTTTGCATTCATAAGAGGTTAAGTTCAGCAATTCCAAATGCCGAAGGGAGAAATTCTCCAAGCAATATAACAGGATTGCTTCCCTTTTCACAATACGTACAAAGATTTCCCTCAAGTACAGAGCCCATTCCTCAGCATCTTCTTCATATATCATTATGATGTCTTTTGTATTTCCTGGAAAAAGGAAAAATAATGTCTTAATTTTCTTATATTTTCAATGCTAACAGCCGGTTAGATTATTATTTCTCAAAAACTTAAATATACTCTTTATGAACTACATTAACTTATTTATACCAGAGATGAATAATAAAATTCATATTATCCTCATCACAATCATACAGGATTAAAGTAATAACTAAAATGTAACAGAGTTCATGCTTTGTGTGCGTCTACACTGTATTCACCATACAAATGTGAATCTAGGATGCTCAACAGAAATATTTAATAGTACGAGGCCTCACAGGAAAATGAACTAAATGCTCTATGAAATTAGGGGCACTGGGCAGGCTCTGCCAGGAAACACGAATTTTACCTGGATTATGATATTTCACTCTTTTGAGCCATTGTCACTTCTTCTGTTAAATGAAGGTTTAAAAAATAGACCTTGCCTAATGAATGAAATTATTTTGAGAAGAAATGTAAGAATTTACATTAAAGGAGTTTAAAATTTTTCTTCCAGGTATAAAGATGAGTACATAAACTCAGATAACAAAATTTCCATCTCCAAATGCCCAGTGAAATAAAATACACATTTTCTTAAAAAAGAAATTCAATAGCAAAAACCAAACAAAGGGATGGTATCTCATGTCATAAACTAAATTGAAGTTGATGCCAATGAAATAAATGGAAGGTTCTGGTAGAGCAGCTCTAATTTTAAACCTATCTCCCACTCCAGAGTCAGTATTGATGAAGAAAGTTGAGTCATCAAAACCCTCAGGGTGCTCATGAATCTCTTCCCCATCTGAAAACCGATCTTGGGGTATCCACAGAGCTGAAAAACCTGTCAGTATCATCCCCAAGTTGGGGCTCAGAGAAGAGTCAGGAAAACCAGCCGAATCTCACAAACTCAACTACATCTGAGGCAGAGCAGAGGGACATTTAACAGTGTCTTAGCAGAGACCACAACCCAGCTCTTGCAGCTGGGGCATCCCACATATTTTCCTTCTCCTCCTCTTTTCCCTCCGGCCATACCAAAATGACTGGAATATAGAGTCTGTCTTTTTAAACTGTAGCTTGGAGGGAAAAATATGAAGTACCAAATAAGGTAGGGAGCAGAATTTAAAGGGTAACTTGCCCACACCCTATTATGCAAATAAAAGTCTAAACTGAGCTAAGATGAAAGATTGGCAATACAAACTTGTGGCTATGGAAAGAGTATGGCAAATAATATTAACATTAATGATCATCACAATAAAGAAAGTAATACAGCAGGCAAAAACTAGTGGAGACCACAAGTAGGGAGGAGAAACTACGAAAGTCCTTCATAGCACAAAAAAAGACCACAGATTAAATAAAACCAAAATTCAAACACAAGTTGATTTAATTAAAAAAATAATATGAAAGGATATAATAAGACAAATTGAGAGCCAAAACAATATTATTACCCAGATAATAAATAAATTAGAGAAAGTAATGACTAGATTAGACATAGATAATATTTTAATTTCTGGCCAAAAATAAAAGCTTGATATTTCCATAGCAAATACAAAAAGAAGAAAAGAAGAAAAAAATGGAGCAGGTTAATACTATTGGTAAAAATATGATATATTTAAATACAAGTCAAAAAAAGAAAAGATTGAACATAAGGATTACTCAAAATTCTTAAGTAGAGAACAAAATATAGATAAAAATATTGCAAAATATTTTATACATTTTTAACATGTTAAAAATCCTTGAAATAAGGAAGGAAGGTAAAGGAACAGATCTATGAATCAATGGGACACAATCAGATTCCAAGAAAAATTGTTAAGAAAAGCATATCTTAATTAAATTGCCCTTGGTTTAATGATGATTATAAAACTGCACATATCTAGGAGGGAAAAGCAAGTCACCAACAAGACGAAAAATATTAAGTTGTTCTTGATTTCTTCAGACCAATTTCAAGGACAGATTTTCATGAATTATAAGAAAGTTCTCACAAAACTTATTTTTACAGTATATTCATAGTATACAATATTGCAGAACAATAAAAAAGAATGAACCAATGATACTTGCACCATGGATGAATCCAAAGATATAATATTAAGCATAAAAAGAAAGAGTTTATGATTGTATTTATATAAGTTTCCAAGGCAGAAAGACTTGACCCATGATGGTAGAGATCAGAATATTTGAGGGTAGGATCAATGAATGAAAGCAGGCATGAGGGAGCCTGCTGGAGTTCTGAAACGTTCTATATCTTAATCTAGATGGTGGGTACGTAAGTATATTGAGATAATATTCTATATAAAGTTATATATTTAAATTACATAGTATGTATCTTAGAAGAAGTGAAAAAGCAACTGCATAATCCTTTCTGTAGGTCCTACACAACTTTTACAGACTGAGAAACAATTACACATTAGATATGAATCACATCTTCTCATATTCTAAAAGTTTTAATAGTTGTAAAGAACTTTGCCAGTTGAATAAAAAATTACTGTATATGGTGCTAGTCACTGTGAATAATGGAACAGTGATTGAGACAAATCCCTTGCTTAAGAAGCCTCCAGACAGTAGCAGGGTGATAGAGTATTTGTTAGGGATCACATGGCACTCAAGTAGGGCTGAAAATACATGTTCTCATTTCCATAATGTTAGTCAAATTGAATTCCTGTTTAGGTACTTGAATAAAAAGTAATGTTAAATAAGATTAAGCTTCCTCAATGGGAAGTATTAAAGAGATTGATGAGCATTACTTACATTCCTACAAATGCATTTTAAGTATGATGATACTATTAACACCAAAAAAAAAATATATATATGAGATGAGTTTAAGAGGATTGTGTTGATTCCATCTATCCCAACACTCCTATTACAATTCAAAAGGAAACTGTAATTGCGAGAAGGGAGTACAACCATAAAATTTTAATGGATAAATATAGTTCCTGGGAAAACAGGTAATTCCAACCTGCTATTGGCAATTTATAAACAGAAATTTAAAAAAAATTCAATTCTCTCACTATATAGGAATATTAAGACACTAGTTAAAGTAATTTTAAATAGCTCATGAAAATTTAATGTTAAAAATATATATCCTCAATATATGAATGTAAGTGAATTCCCATTTGGTGGTATCATAAAATGTCTGACTTTTTAATGTTTATTAATTCATAACTTAGTTTAAATTGCCTACTGTGCTTCTCAGTGATGGATAAAGTTAAAATATACACATCTTTCACTTGATTCTATGTGAAATATAAAAATATGGCAAAGCAGCCTCCGACTCACATCTTGTATCAAGCTGCTAGCTGATCTCATATGATGCTATATCTTATCTTTGAGCATAAACATAAGTGTGAATGAGAAAATGTTCTGATGTTAAAGAAAATAAAGTTTAAAGTTTTTAAAATAATTATTGAGATTAGCAAATGATTGGTCACCAGCTGGGGCAATGCATGTTTAAGTCAAACATGGCCGGAAGGCGATTACGCTCCATGGCTAATCATTTCTTGCAGGTAGATTTCTGTGGACCTCAGATTACAGTTCTGTAGACTTCAGGACACCAACTGTCTTGGCCTAGATTTCAGAACTAGATATTTTACGATAAGACAGAGTAAAATTTTCTTTTTCATAGCTTTACACAGTGTCTTCCTTGAACACTAGAGTTAATGTTCAGAAAGCCTTGGAAGGTTCTGTTAATGCAGCGAAGACCTTTCCTATGTGGAATGAATCACGAAAAGAAGACCAGCTTTTAGTAAAAATGAAGAGAAACATCTAAAGAGAGCGGGATATTTAGAATAGTAAAGAATAACATGAGCACGTGAGGGAGCTACGAGGAGTTCACAGCACAATGAGCCTGAATAGCGCACAGCATGCACCTTAGCTCTGCTTCAAAAGGGAAGTGGCAGAAACCGACTAGGGGCGCTACGTTCATCATATGAACACGGTCAAAGCTGCCCACAGTACTGCAGAGAAGGCCATCACCAACGCAATAAAAATGTCTGATCAAATTCCTTATCTATTTTATAGCAATAAACAAATTGTGATTATATTCCTGTGCCTAAGATTTATAAACTTCTTGGGACGTCCTTTGTAACCCATTAACCGCCTAAGGCATGCAAGACAAACCTGCAGGTCTTCAGTTACACAAGGAATCTATGTCAGTGGCTTGTCTCTGATTAACAGACCTCCTTATCTTAAAACATTCCAAGCATTTAGACAAAGCTTCATGTCTTTACCAATTACAAGTCAAAGAATCTTTAAACCCACCTATAACCTGTAAGCCCTTCGAGATGCCCACCTTTTTGGGCCAAGTAATATATTTCCACATACTGATTTATGATTTTACCTGTAACCCCTGTCTCCCTGCAGTGTATAGAACCAAACGTAACCCAGCCACAGCGAGTCCATTGCTCAAGGCTTCTTGGGCGTGGCTCCAGTCAGGCCCTCAAATTGGCTCAGAATAAATCTCTTTAAAATTAAAAAAATTAGTGTTTGGAGTTTCACTCTTCAAGATATGTAAGTATGATCAAAAATGACATTTAGAAGATAAATAATAGAATAGAATTAAAAGAGAAAATAAAAAACTTCTTCAAAGAAAAGCTGAATATGTATCATACATTGAGAAAGAAACCTTGGAACCTTAGTCTTTACAGCCTCAGAAATAATTTGAGCTACTTTATTAAATCACACAAGCCAGAGAAGCTCTTTGGACAAATAAAACCTTGTGTAAAGTATCAGGTACCTGAACTCACATTTATAATTCAGACTTTTTGAGTAATACACTTTTCAAACAATCCATCATTTTAATTGGAATTCTGAAATTATAATGAACTACTAGTTTTAGAGAAAGAAAAAGCAGATATTCAAACCTGAATTTCAAAGTTGGCAGCTAATAATTTTTCAAACTTTATAAATTCTAGAAGTACAAAAATAGTTCTACTGCCTTTGTCCTAAATATGTTATCATTCCTCATTCACTGTTAACGATTGATTATTGCTAAATTAGTGAACAATTAATGTAGGTGTTTTAAA